GCCGCGAATAGTTCCGTGGAAGAAAGTCTAATTTTCTTATGTATAGAACTTTTTTTAACCATTCGTCATTTCTAGTAGAAATTCTGAATTGTTATAATGGCTCTTTCTTACAACTTACAATACAAGAGTTTCTTACAGGAGTGAAACAAAACTAAACAAAAAGATTAAAGAACAACATTTGGCAAAATGGTTAATGCAAAATGATCCATTAAAAAAAAGAATTGATACAACAATTTGAATACTTAATCAATTAGTAGTATCCCTAGAGTCCACTCCTTCCCCATACTACTAGTGAAAGAGAAAAAGTAAAGACTACCATTAAAGCAGCCCAAGCTTACAATCATTTTGTTAAAAAAAGTATAAATTCATGGTATAAAACAAACTTAACTATTTATCAAACGGCGGCGGCTACACATCAGTCGGCTGATCTTAGGACAAGATCAGCCGCCAGGCCAGCCGTCGATTAGCGCATATACTCTCTCCGGTCCTTTTTACTCAGCATATTAGATTTGTATCAAGTCAAACTTAGCAAAGTTTGACCAAATTTACATTAGAAAGTATCAACTTCTACGACACTAAATATATATATTATGAAACTACATTTCATAATGTATCTAATAATATGGATTTGGCATTGTGAATGTTGATACTTTTTTCTATAAGTTTGGTCAAAATAGCGATATTTTGACTCCAAACAAAACTTATAAGCAGACTAAAAAGGACTGTAGGGAGTACAATATAATTTCGGCATCGTCCCATCCAACCCCGACCTCGCCATCTCTCCCTGCGTCACCTCTGAGCATCGGGTGCGCTGCAAACACACCGTCCACGACTCCGCGCGCTGCACACGTAGCTCCGGCGAGAGCTGCAGTGTGATCCATTCCTGTACCCGGCGATGCTCAGGTGGTCCGGTGATGCTTCATTGCCGGCGGCGAGCGCTCCACAGCAGCACCAAACGCTTCATCCAGCTGCCGACGAGCGTTGCGATGCAGCACCGGGAGCGTCGGCGATCGCTGCATGGGAGCACGGGAGCTGCTGACGAAGCTCCATTGCAGCTCCGTCGGTGTTTCAGTGGAGCACCGAGCACTGCACAGCAACTCCGAGGTCGCCGGCGAGCGCTGCGATGCAGCACAGGGAGTCGCCCGCGAGCGTGCTGCATCGGAGCACGGGAAGCCGCCGACAAGTGCTCCATTGCAGCTCCGCCGCTGGCGACATGTAGCACCAGCGAGCCGGCGACGTTGCATCACATTGCCTACGAGCCGACGAGGTTGCATCGCTGCACGGCGGCGTGGATGAGTTAATGCGTTGTAGCACCGACGACCGTGGTCGAGTTGCTGCGTTGCAGCACCGACGGGGCAACGAGCGCCGCATCACATCCCCGGCAACACCGACGAGCAGCCGCCTCCCCCTGCGTGTTCCGTCCCAGGAGTGCGCCGAGCGTCGCCCCGCGGGGTTGCAGCATCACAACGGTTGCGCGCGGGATGCCGGCTTGTGGAACTTGGGCTGCAGGGGTTGGAGCTTGAGGAAGCATGTCATGGCGAATAGGGCTTGGCCAGCAAATCCATGGCGAGATGTGCAGGGATGAAAAGGTTCTCGCTGAATACAAGGAGATAAGGCCGAGCAAGTTGGTGGGACACGTGTCGTCCGTAGCATGCGGCTTAAGCGAGAGAAATTTCAGCCGGTTGAAGTTAAGAGTTTTCCTTACCAAATACTCCCTTCGTTCCATATATAAGAACGGTTTTGAGCTTGTTAGCTTGAAAAATACACCAACCTTTTTGAGCTTGTTAGCTTGAAAAAACATTCTTATATTATGAGACGGAGGGAGTACCATAAAATACACTGATCAAGTATTACAAATACAGAGGCAAAGCCAGGAAAAAGTATGTTGGGTGTCACTTTTCTACAGGCGTATCGTTGCATATTTGTATGAGTATTTAACAGAATTCCTTTGTGAATCGACAGCAAGGGTTGCCCTGCTGCCAGATTTCAGACTACCCTGAACGAATTTTTAATGAAGAGCCTGTGCTGACAGAAAAATATACTAATTGAGTGCAGCATCTCCACTGGAGTAAACAAACGGATTGCAAGATAACAAGTGAAGCTCATAGATGGAGCAATAAACAAACCAGTGTGCATCACTAACTATTAATGAGAAAGAAAGGAAAATATAAGACCACATTGCACGTAGACTCTTTTTTTTCTGAGGGAGCACGCATACTCTTCTGTCAGTCGTTTGTGTCATAACAAACCACTTGATATTCACTGTGATGTTTTCAAGCAGCACCATGTCAAAAGATTCTGTTTTTCCACCTCTTCATTGCCCTAGCGCAGTCATCAATGGGATTCTTGTCAGCAATTGTACCGTCCATGTTAGGATCAAAAAAGATCCAATCCTCCTTTAAAGTGCACATCAGATCGGCATGAAATTCACATGAGCTGATTAGGTCTTCATTGCAGATGCTATGATCTCCACGAGCCATTGCAACAAAGTCCTCACCACGCCCATGATAAGTTTCATGGTATGGATGAACAATTTTTATCCCCTTGTGCTCACAGTTAAAGCAACGAACTTTCCTCAAACAAAAGTAAGTAGATCATTAGCTTTTATACATGGAAAAAAGACAATTTTATCCCTATACAAAAGCTAAGTGCATAAGATGGATCTAAAGAGTATGTCAACAAACCAATGCTTATAAAAAACAAAAAAAATTAACAGTCCTGAGTACTTGCCAACAGAGGAAATCTACATGTTCAAGAAGTTGAAGCATGTGGACTGGGGATAGGGATGTAAATGGCGCAATAATAGGCGCCACAAGGCCAGTTTAGTTAGCTTTTGTTAGCTCGATAATTCATTTTTCCCAAAAAAATGAACTTTATTGAACTGTTAGAATGATAAGTGGGCTTAAACAGGATTAAACAGAACCCGGTTTACATCCCTTGGGACTCACATAGTCTGATAGTCACATACTGTGCAAGAAATAGTTCTGATGGAACTAAAAACTGTACCTAACATAAATGCCGTTGCTGCACTACCAGTATCCTAAAAAACCTAGAAAATTATCAATGTCACTGGCAGTGAGGCTTTGGTCTGTATGTCTATGCCCCTTTTCAACAAGAAGAGATGACAGAAAAATCTTACCCCTAAAATGGCCACACTAAGGTCAGAAACATATCAGGAGCAGATGGCAGGGCAACAGAGGAGCTGGCTGGCAGCGAGGCAGCACACATGCAGTACATGGCATGCCTGTGATGAACACATACCTGAAGGCTAGGACACATGGAACGAGACAGGGGGAGGGGTGGTTAGAGGTGACAAGGGCTAGTATGTAAAGCATATTTATTTTATTTCAATATTTTGTTTGAGGTCGACAAAGCACGTTTAAGTTCTATGAAGGAAGGAAACCACATGTCTCAAGTTAAGAAATAAGCCAGCATTTGGAAAAGAACTCAGCAAAGGCAATACATTAGGAGTGTTTGGAAAGCTGTTTATTTATTTAGGGGCTCCTTAGTTATTCGGCAATACACAGGCTTAGATCGTTCAAACTTCAAACTGGGAAAACATAGCAGCACAAGTGCTTTTACAGATGGTCAGATGCATAATACTTTCAAATCTTAAATTTCTGAGTTGAAACTTCAAGATTTAGCTTTCAAGCTTTAAAATTAAAACATAAGAGAGTTGTGCATGGTAAGATAATTGTTGTGTTTAAAATGTACCATGAAAACTTTAGACTACTTGGAGTTGGAGGTACACAATGCTGAAATGTGCATGTGAAGAGTATTATTCGAGACAAGTCTAGTGAACACAAATGCATCGAAGGAAACTCATAGCATAAAGGAAACTATAGTTCAAAATAAATGAGAAGAATTGTAAATAAGAATAGTGAGGCACTCGTTTGTTCAAGATTCTTCCCACATAGTGGAATCCTTAGGATTCGCATTAGTAAAAATAATGAATCCTTGGGAATCATAATTGCTAGGGGAAGGCTATTGCAGGTGAAAAAGAAGCACCGGTAGTCATATGCATGGCAAACAATTCATATTGACTACTCAAAGACCATGCAGGAAAATACCATGAGATACCAACTGTGTGGACAAGAGAGCTAAGAGAGTATACCATCAGATATCCAGGAACTCGATACAGGGACGCACATGGATGGTCTTTCATCCTCATCTTTATCACCATTGCTACATTGGGCAAAAAATAGTACTGGACCAGGGGCAGAGAAGTTTGATCCCTTGGGCGTTGCCAAAAAGTTGATATGAGAATACTCATATTTGCCATTTTTCTTAAAAAGGGCAACACTTGTACCTTCAACCACAACAGGATTCACAGTGCATATCACCTGAAGTTCATATTGCACCTATACACAGCAAGGCAGAAGGGGGAGCAGATCAATAAAGGACATTTAAGCAAAAAATGGCAGGAAATATAGTAGAAAGCAATAAAATATATAACAAAAACAAAGGCACAAACCCCTGTTTGCTGACTATAGTTGAACAATGCAGCAGTGACTTTCCTGACAAAGAATCCTTGGTCAGCTTTAAATTTCTTTTGAACCGCCCGAATGAACATTTTCTGGTTTTTTGATAAGGTCTCTGAGCTTGAGTTGGTAGGTGAAGGATTGGGTGAAATCAACATGGCGAGCCGCTCAATTCCACCAACCGTGAGTGCAAGAGTCGGCACACATGACTCAGTGGATTCTGTGATTATGGATGACGAAAAGAATTTTACCAGAGCATCAGTGTCAGGATGCCATGAAGCACGTGCTGCTTCCCTATAAGGGTCATTGTCATAGCACACAGAATGGCCATCCACTTCTGCCATTTTAATGGCAGAACGGATGTCAGCATTGCTTATGAGCAGGTACCATATGGCATCATGATCTGTTAGAGCGCTGAAGAGAGTGCGCATGTAGGCAACGAGGCCATAGAGAGAGCAGCACTCTATGCGCATCAGGGCATTGGTGCATATCATGTCCACCTCAAAGCTAAGCTCAAACTCATGGTGTAGAGAATGTAGAGCCATACCAGACAGTGTTGAGGATGATGTTTGAGACAGGATCCATTGGGCCATAGCAATAGCCAGCCTTGAGGAGGCTGCAGGCGAGACGCTTGCACAAGCCATCTCCAGATAGCTTGGAAAGAGCATCTAGGTAAAGCTCGTGGATCTTGTCGAGAAGCAACAGCTTCAAAGACTCTGTATATCCAGACGTAGTATTCTCCTTCTTCTCCTTCCTCTTCCCAACAGCAAGACGTAAAGTGGCAAGATACATGGGACGCCATATGTCCATGGGGGGCATATCTCGACAGTCTTGAAGACTGAGCCACTGGCGGAGGCACCTTACCATTCTAATGGAGAGGCGGGGATGCCGATGTAGATACTCAGATACATTACCCAGCGACGATGCCAGCAACAGTGACGTACTCACCAGAATGGCTGGTTCGGGGTGCCTCGCGGAGGCGGCTGCACAGCGCAGGGCTATTTTGGTGGTAGGGGAGGAGATATCGAACGGAGGCTTCCTGTCAAGCAGGTCAGAGACGGACACTGAGGGCTTGTTACGATCTTGATCAATAAGCCACACGGCAACGAGGAGGTCGGCCCCGGCCAGGCGCAGGTAGCGCAGGGCTTCTGCCTCCGCGAGGTAGCGGTAGTAGTAGATGAGGAAGCTCACGAGACCTTCCAGAGACCGCCGCGCGACCGTCATGCTGTGGGCCGCGTGCGCGTCCAGCGGTAATTCAAAGACTCTGGGGTCGTCAGTGTCGGTAATGATCTTGGACAAGATCGTCTTCCTCGCCAGTACACCCTCCTCGAGGCTGGGCAACGGCGAAGGACAGTAGGAGATGGTGTTGAGGATGATGTTGGAGATTGGGTCGAGGAAGCCGATGCAAAGGCCGGCCTTGAGAAGGCGCGGTGCCAACGAGCGAATCCCCTTTACCGGCAGCCGATTGAGCGCCTTCTTGTAGAAACCATGGATTTGATCAAGCAGGACACGTATGTCCTGCTCCATGGACTCCGCCTCTGTAACGCGAGTAACATGATCGTCTCCGATGGTTCGCAGACGCTTGCCGTACATGTCGACGTGCGCACTTGCTCCCTCTCCGGCGACGATGGACCCTGATTACGGCGGCTAGTAGGGGTGATGAGACTGGAAGAATAACCTAGCCACGGCACTTGCTCCCTCTCCGGCGATGATGGACCCCGATTCGCTCCGCTTTTGGTGAAGCAGGGGAGCGACGGCGGCGGCGCAGGGGTGGTGAGGCTGGAAGGATATAACCTAAACACATTGGGCCGGGCTCGCTCTATCAGCCCAGAATCGTGCTCGCTACTAGCCGGCCCAATCGTGCTCCTAATTGGCCAACCAAAAAACAGCGGACAGACTGGTTGGAGCACCCTCTACTCAAAAAAAAAAAAAAAGACTGGTTGGAGCACCCCCTCCAAAAAAAAGACTGGTTGGAGCATATTGCGGGCCACTCTCATGTGGAAGATGACCCGAAAGCTTGGACGAAGTTGTGGAGTTTGAACGTACCATCAAAGATCAAAGTGTTTGCTTGGCGCCTCGCTCAAACATCTCTCCCCACTGGTGATGTTCGGAAGCATAGAAAGATGTCTTAAACAACAGCTTGCGCTATTTGCCACTCCGACTTTGACTCAAGGCGTCATTCCCTATTTGACTGTCGGATGGCGAGGTGTGTGTGGGCTCTCGCGGATGAGGAGCTTACTGATGTGGTCATCTCGAACCGTAGTGAGGATACTAAGTTTTGGATGTTCTGGCTAGTCGAGACGCCTCGGTGGACCTCATGCAGGTCTTCATAACGATGTGGGCAATATGGTGGGCTCGGTGACGTGCTATACATGATGAGCAATTTCAGAGTCCCATGAGCACGTCTTATTTCATTGCAAATTTTATGGAGGACTGGGAATCTGTGCCTACTTGCAATTCAGCTACAGCTAATGACTTGCATGTAACAACCAGAGGCGTGCAAGTTGTTGACACCAGATTTTTGCATGGCCAAAAGCATAATTAAGATGGCCTCGGATGAAAAATGTTTCAACATGAAAGTTCTTCGTCTCGCTGAAACAGACGATTTTGATATAAAAACCGTCCCCATCCAAGGTCGTATGCGGATTTTACAGTCAAAACCATGTGCTACAACAGTGTTTGGCCGGATCATCCGGGACGGGGTCCAGATCATCCGACCGGAGGCCAAACGAAGGACCCATACAATAGAAGCTTAAGACAAAGCCAGATGATCTAGGAGTAGACCCGGATGATCCGGGTGGAGGTCGGACGATCCGAGCAAAGTCCGGACATCCGGACAATTTTTTTTGCTGCAAACTTTAGAAAATAGCCCGAAACCTCCTCAAGCTGGCCTTAGATTGAAAAGTGTTCAACAGCAAAGTTGTGCGCCTCTTCGGAACGGTTGCTTCTGATATAAAAATCATCTTAATCTGAGTTTGTATGCAAAAGTTACAGCCCGATTAGTGAACTGTTGTCAGAAAACTGGGCTTGCCCAGATCATCCGGGCCTTCAGCCGGACATCCGGGCCTTCAGCCGGACATCCGGGCCAGAGGTCATGAATAGTCCATGTTTTGTTAGGTTTTGATGATTTTGGATGACAAGGCAAGTCCTTTTCTTTTATCAGAAGTTCATCCACCCCTTATATAGACAAGAGGTGACGGCTAACTAAACAACAACACACAATCGCAAAACATATCTACTTTTTACCCTAGTTTTACATCTCTCCCTTTGTTCTTTCTCTCTCGTTCGTCATGTTGAAGGGCAGCGATCCTCGAGGCTCTAGGGGTGGGCGAACTGACCTAGGGCAGCCCATAGCCACCGCGCATCCAGATGATGTCCCTCCCGGGCGCGTGGGGTTTCGGGTGCTCAAAACCGCTAGCCCGATTGCTTGCGTACCGCGCTTCTGGATGGGTCTCCTTCGATGTGAGTTGCGGTGCATCACCCTCGACGTTGGAGGTACACGGTGACGTGTTCATGTGCAAACACACTTTTTGACGACTCCGCTGGGGACGAAAGATCAAGAATCATCATCAACCATATCTAATCTCTCCAAGCCCTCAAAAGTTGATGGCGATAACATCATTAAGCCCAGTCTTGATGGACTATCGGAGGAACACCACCAAGCCTATGAAATGCACAAGAATCAGCGTAAAGAGGCTTTTGAGGCGCTCAAGAAGAAGCGTGAGGAGGAGTATTTGGAGGCATTTCTTGTAAGCAGGAAGGACCATCAAGGCAACATCACTCCGGTTGGAAACGTCAATTTCCCTCATCTCATTGACGAACAAGATGTAATCACTATGAGTAAAGTTTTTTTCTCCAGAGCAATTGGCTGTGATTGAAAGTCTTGTTAGTAAGGGTAATGCGATGACATACAATTCTATCATAGCAAGTGCTAATGCTTAGAAAAATATGCCTCTGTCATCTAGTGGTACTGTTGGTATATCTGAAAACCCTAGTCCAACTTTACCTATTTCATCGGCACCTCCTATGCAATAACAATATAGTATGTCGTTGAATTTTTACCCTAGTCAAACCAACCAGCTTGTGGCTGCACCTACTATTGGAAATATGCCCTAGAGGCAATAGTATTATATTATTATATTTTCATTATTCATAATTAAGAGTTTATATTTCATGCTATAACTGGAATATGTGATTCAGTGGAAAACTCATATGCACGTGTGAAATGATAAACGGTAAATGATAGGTTCATGGTCTTGCCTCTAAGACTGGCTCAAGTGTTTTTGGTGATCGTGTTTTCCGGATCTTAGGATATCATTAAGCGTAATGATAGTCCCAAAATAACATTGAAGGTATGACGTTAGAAGAACGATCGTATTGAATCGACCCAATACTTGTCTGTTATACTTTGTGATTATATTGTCTAAAATCAATTGTTAGAACACGGACTGTCAGCATGTGTTTTAGTTCCTCAGACCATGAGAGTGTCTGGTCACTTACTACCAGACGGTGGACTTTGAGGTTGCTCAAACGTCATCTATAACAAGGTGATCATTACGATAACTTTCAGGCTCACTAGAAAGTTTGATAAGTGATCGGATAGCTCGAGAGTGGGATTTGCTCCTCTGATGATGGAGAGATATTCTTAGGGCCCTCTTGGTGTGACGAAATTCATCATCGTCTAGCCATACACAAGTGACTACATCACGGGGATGTCGGAACACGTCAACAGAAAGAAGAACAAAACCGGTAACGGGAGCAACAGTATAGTGAGCATGGTGACGACTCAAGAATATATCGACGCACACCGGGTTTCATAAAGTACCGCGAAGCAATGGAAACATCACATGATAACCAAAGGTTCATTCGAATATCATTCTTGTAATCATAGGGACCGATATAGATGTCCACGGTTCCGCTATTGGTCATTGAACGAAGGGGTTTCGTTCATGTCTATCGTTTACCGAACCTACGCAGTCACAAGATTAAGGTAGTCACGATCTGCTGAGTGTTAGTAGGACGAGAGTGATGAGAATATATTTGTGGAATTGTTTCATTAATATCCAAAATAGTTCTGAAAAGTTCCGGAAGCGTTTCAGGGTCACCGGAAGGGTTTCAGTGAATATCGGGTAATACCAAGTATTACTGATTAATTATATATAGGTGGAAAATGTTTCCGGGGATGTTAAATTATATATATAATGCTTTGAAAATGTTTAGAACATTTTATATTTAATTTAAATATCAACGGGCCTAAAAAGGCCAAGAGGTGGAAGGCAACTTGGGCCAAAAAGGCCCAAGTGGGAAAGTGCCTCCCTTCCAAGCGGGGCCGAATTGGGGAAGGGGAGGAGTCAAACTCCTCCTCCCCTTAGATGGCGCACCAAGGGGGACTCCTTCCCCTTGGTGGCAGCCCTCCCTCTCCCCTCTAACCTATATATACTAGAGGATTTCCACCCTATGGACATACAAGTTTTGGAGCCTCCTCTAGTTGATCTAGTTCTTGTTCTAGTTTGTCCTAGTGAAGTAATTAGAGCGAGCCCTAGCCACCTCTCATCCTCATAATTAGAAACCCAGTGTGGTTCTAAACTCCTCCCTCTAATTCTCCGGTGACGATTAGCTCTGGACGGCGAAGCGCTGCCGGATCGTGAAGACCTTACTCTTGCAACCAACTAGAGAGGTCGTGCTTTTGGTCTTCTGTTCGAGGGTGGTTTGCAAGATCATCATCGACATTTGAGGGACTCCAAGTACAATTTATATGACTCGTCTACTTCTGTTGCATTCTCGGAGTTGGTAACGATCATTGATCACAACTCGTTATGCATCTTCATATTGTTCTTGGGTGATCGTAGGGCGATTTTTTTGTTTTCTACTATGTTTCCTATTATTTTCTTACTGGTATAAAAATAAAAAAGTCCATATTAATCCTACAAAATTGTTGTCCATATCTTACCTTACAAGATTTAGTTGTAATACTAACCATCGGATAATCTTTTAAGAAGGACCATCGGATGACGCTAAATGGACTGTTCATATTAATTGGGAGCATCTCAAATTTTCTCTACTAAATGATAAAAACATGATAGAGGTTTCTAGCACAACCGATATGTCAAAAGTAGTGGAGCATAGGAGAAGACAACAGGACCATCTACCCGATTAGAAGATTCTAGAAATAACAGCGGAGAGAGGCTAATTAAGAGTGTTGTGACAAACAAACAATTTAGCATACCCTCTCGTCCAGCACTTTGGCTAGCGGCGAGCCAAGCTAGATTGATGACCCACAAGTATAGGGGATCAATCGTAGTCCTTTCGATAAGTAAGAGTGTCAAACCCAACGAGGAGCAGAAGGAAATGATAAGCGGTTGTTGATGCAGCTTGAACTACATAGGTATTTCCCCAAAGAGGAAGGGATGATGCAACACAACTACGGTAGGTATTTCCCTCTGTGATGAGCCCAAGGTTATTGAACCATTAGGAGAACCATGCAACACTACGTGAACGGTACCTACACACAAAGAACAAATACTTGCAACCCGACGTAAAAGAGGGGCTGTCAATCCCTCCCCGGTAAAAGATTGGTAAAGAAATAAATTGAT